CAACTGGAACTGAAGTTCTGGAAACAACCCACGAATTTAGCGAATGCTTAAATAAACGTTCTCAGACAGATGTCATCTTTCTAGACCTGGCAAAGGCTTTCGATAAGGTATCCCACGACAAACTTTTAGCTAAATTACTCGCAATTCTTAAATCGGACTCCTTATTCAAATGGTTCAAGAATTACCTTAAGGGTTAAAGGCAGTATGTTACATTCAACAATAACGTATCCAGAGTATCACCAGTAACCCCAGGAGTGCCCCAGGACGCGGTTCCGGCGCCTGTGTTGTTTTTAATATTTATTAATCATATCGTGAAAACTATCAATGTTCACATAGAAATGCTCGCAGATGATTGCGTACTATACTTTGAAGTAAAAACACGCAATAATCAAATAAACTTAAATAATAACTTGAAAAAATATATATAACTGGTGAAATGATTGGCAAATGGCATTAAATAAAAAGAAAGCTGTCAGCATGAGGATCTCAAGTAAAAAATTCCCACTTGTGTTTGACTACGAGTTGTCCGGACACAAGCTTAGCAGCCTAACGAAATATAAATACCTAGGACTTATTTTCTCTTCGGAACTTAAATGGGACAACCATATCGATTACACAGTAAGCAGAGCCAACAACAAATTATGGTATTTAAAACGAATCTTGAAAGGTGCTCCGTCTACCACTAAACTGCTCGCCTATAAAGTTTTAATACATCCCCTTCTTGAATATACGAGTGTTGTATGGGACCCGTTTACACAAAAAAATGTAAACAAATTAGAAATGGTTTAGAGAAGAGCACTTAGGTTTGTGTTCAACGAATTTGGACGTAACTATTTCCCTTCAACGAATGTGTCAAACTGATTTAATGCACTTGCAAACTAGAAGAAAACTAACCCGCATTAAAACTCTCTGCCAAATCATCAACCACTTCATTAAAATTCCACAGGACAAATGCGTAACTTTCACGACTCGAACAATTACCAGATTTACACTTTCAAAAACGATTATTGAACACTGGTCCCGAATTGATTCCTTTAAATACTTTTTTTCCCACGCACAACATCGGAGTGGAACAAGCTACCCAGGCATGTCGTTGACTGTGATGATATTTCTTTGTTTTTAGGCCAACTCGCACCTTATGTGTAAATAGGTTGTTTTGTAGCGGGAACAGAACTTTAACTATAACTACTTCATCGAGATTGACCTTCTGCTTTATTGGTGCTGTGGGACCTTGAATTTGTATTTCTGCATGTATTGTCATGGTTTCCTTTTTTTCAACTTGCTTTGACCCTTGCCTTGTCTGATGTCGATTCTAATCTGTATTGCCTATTGTAGTGTTGTATTGGAACGTAACCGCATTGTATTTTCATTGATCATTCTGTGTTTATTTGTGCCACTCCTATTGTATTCCTTCCAAGGAATTATAGTATTGTTAAATAAAATTTAAAAAAAAATCAAGTGGCTCCCGTTTCCACTGTAGACCCATAACATATGCCACAAATAAGTCGCCACAGCTTTTACGTTTAGTAAAACAATTGCCAGGCAACTCTGTTGGATACGTGAAACGTTCTAGAATCACAAGCGTTTACCGATAGCTGCACCTGGTGGATGTACCTATATGCAATTGGTGTCACATAATGAAAATTTCCTGCAAAATTTCGCTGCAACGCTGAATTGGTGTATTGATCACGTTACGTAAGGTTCCATGTTGTGAAATTCCCCGCTGAATTTAGCGGGGAAATAAAATGTATGTGTGGGTCACGTGACCTCAATTTTTCCGCAAACTTTTGCGGGGAAATTGAATTTCGGTATGGGTCACGTGACATAACGCCACCTGACATCATTTTCCTCAATATACTTAGCGGTGTATTTGAAGTGGCGCTGAGGTCACGTGACGTCAGTTTTGTCGTTAAATCTAGAGGGAAAACTGATTTTGTGTAGAGGTCACGTTAGACGAAGTCGTGACGTCCTTTTTTCCGCTCAATTTAGCGGAGAAACTGAATTGGTGTTGAGGTCACGTGACGTCAATTTTCCCGCTAAATCTACCTGACAACCTGAATACGGCTTCCCTTAAATGGCAGCTCCGGTCAATATTGAAACGTAAATAAATTACTGGTATTGTTTTAGTGGTACAAAATGTGATCACAACGAATGTTAGGTTAAAGGCAAGTTGCGCACTTCACTCAAACCGATTTTAAAGATGCGACCAGCTGCTCCTAAGCGGGCGACTAACGGGTTAGCTGTTAGTCAAGGAACACTGGTGTAGCACCCTTGTGATGTCACATCGCGGTGGAGCTGCGGTTGATAGGTTCTACCGGTGACGTCAGGTCGCGGCCGCTGATCTCTATTGTGGTAGGCTCGATCGCGGATCGGGAGCCCGTGTATGGCACCACCGGCGGACATTGCTTGACACCACGCAGTACACGCTAGACTATGGGAGAAACACACAGAAGTAGGAATATTGAAACTTCTACTGGATGCTCGAAAACGAGTATTTTATGAAATGCTGCGATCTTTATATCGGGTATTTGGAGGTCGAATCGGTATTTGTAAAGCGTTCGAATGCCAATTAAAAAAAAATCAAAAGTCCCGGAGCACCTACAGCTGAGCTGGCGAACTTGCTCTCGTAGTGAAGTAAACAAAGGAACTTGCCGTCAATCAGACCCTCCTCGGGAAAGTGAGGAGCTGATGAATGTCGAAAAAGCTCCATATTGACAGCGGCTTCCCAGGGGTGAGCGAATTTTGCGTAGCAAAGCCTTCTAGCTTGTGTCTGCTAAGCCGAACTTGTCGAAACCGCCACCGACTCTCTCGGTAAGTCTAGGTAACTCTCGTCTCATTCAGCTGCACTATATTTCTCGCCCAGCGGAGTCATTCTCGACCTCAAAACATTTATTGATAAGAAATGCGAGGGCTTTTAGTTTTAATGTTTGTACATATGCTACTCGACAGGCTTCCCGAAAAGCAGCCAACAAGTTTCAGTGCCGACAACAGCTTAGAAACGGGGGAAACTGCACATTTTCTCGTTTTTGGCATAGAGTCCCATGGATTTTGTGGTGCCAATGAATGTCCGCCGGTGGCGACACTGGGCCCCAGATGCCGAGACCGCGGTCCGCGATCCAGCGTACTCCAAGAGAGATCACTGGTCGCGGCCGTACGGCTTATGATTAGTGTTGCCATCCCTCTCGCAGATAGTTTCGATTTTGCCATAGGTGACCGACACCAAACTTTGCTCTGTGATAGCTATAAAACTACACAGAATATAAAAAAAAATCATACCTTGTTATTCAGGGACGCTGCTTTAGCTGAAAACAGTCGTAATCACGAAATAGAGCTGCTCTTTAACGGGCTTTACGATATCAGTAACAACAAGCAAAATAACGTTAGACTTTAAAAACGTTTAGCTCCGTACCGTGTCATTGAACTTTTTTTTTTTAGTAGATTTTCATTGAGGCAATTGCCTTTGACATTTTAGCAAAACAAATATACCACAAACTAATAAACCATACAACGGGGAATTGGCAAATTACAGTGTAATGGCATAAAGATCATACATTTCCGATTCATTTATAATGTGTTAAACACACCTGGATCGCGAGGTATGTGTTAAAGTGACACAATTGGTAGCGGCACCAAGCATGGCAGATGTGAACAAGACACGAGTAACCTACGGTAATAAGCTCAAAGTCCCGTGATTAATATTTCGATGCGTCTTTACTTTCGAGTGATAATCTTCAGATCTAACTTTGTTCCTTGAATGATTCGCAATTTTGTCCAATCTTGCTGTTTATTTCTATTTGACATTGAGTTGTACTGTATTCTCTGTGAAGGTGTTGGAAATCCTAGCGGTCAAAAAGTCTACCCTATTTTTTAGACCCTGTGGCTTTTGTGCGCAGTAAACAGTTTCCGGATGAAACTTTATTATTCCCACAACCCATCGATGCGGAAGATGACTGCTCATATATTTTTATTGCCACGATTTGATAATTCTATGAACTGCTTAACTCCTAACCGCACCATTTTTTAAGCAGTGTAATTTTGATATTTTTGTGTGTGTGTTACTCTGTTTACCTTCAAAATCTTGAAGCACTGTTTATTGAAAGCAAGCAGAAAAATCATTCTTTTATCACCTGGAGCTCCATAAAAATATAAATAACTTTTCTCCGACACAAACGTAGCTACAGGAATCTGTAAATACAGATTCAATTAATATATGCACCGCACTGGGTAATTTCAATACACAATTATTTATTTCTAGAAAAATCTTTGTAAGGGGCAAGCATTTTCTTTTTTTAAATTCTGGAAATGCACTTTTTCATAAATGGCATAATCTTAGAAAATACCTTCACGTGCAAAATGTGAGGAGATGCAGTATGAAGCGCTATCAAACCAATTTTTATTATTAAAAAACACTAATCTTATTGATGACACGAAAACTGTTGTCTTTCATGCCCCTTCGTTATCGTAAGCTGATTACACAGCCTCTTGTCAGGACGTCGTAAAGTTAGACATTGTTGCGCCAGTAGTCATAGTTTTTCTTCCTTCATTCCGGTCTTTACTTTTGGCTCATGTTACCGTTGAAGCAAGAAAGTTTAATTGAGCTCTCCCACTCATTGCACTAGCAGAGCAGCTCAGCAGCTTCAATGTGGAAGAATTGCGATCTTTGACTCAGACCTTTGGAGATAGGCTAAGGCAGTCTAACACGCAAGCTTAATTATGAAAACAGAAATTTGGCTCCTACAAGGATTTTTTTTTTTTATCTCGAATCGTTGATTTGCAGCAAAATCTAGTGATCTCTAAACAATGGTGAAATTCGCTGACTGGAAAAAATAGCTCTGGAAACTTAAATGTAACAAAGATATAAGTGCAGCTCTTCATTTGTATTGCGTATTTGACCTTTTTCTTGACTTTTCAAAGTCGTAGAAGTGACGTATGAAGTAACCTTTCGCTTACATTCGTATTTACTTTTTCAGCTACCAATATAAAGAGAACGGTAGAGAGTTTAAGTTTTAAGGACGAGGAAACCCCACCTAAGGGCGCCATTATGAGGACAACAGTGCACATCTTCATGTTTTCTGTGGTTATGATGTTGGGCCTTTCTGAAGGTAAAGTATCACGTTACTTGCATAGGTTTCTTGACTCAGAATATAGCGCGAAATTGAAATGTTTGTAAGACTGCAGTAACTTATATTCCGCTGTTACATAAGGTATGATAGAATACATATCCTAACACGTACCTTCTAAGCGGCAAGCGAACAATATATTTTATTGCAATCCCAGCGCACACAGAGAACATTACAAGACACTTTGTTAGAAATATCAATTCATACCTTTGTCTGTCGGTTGTAGGTATCAAAAGCTTCAGATTAACCAAGTGCCTCTTTTGTGGGCTGGCAACTCACATACTAAATGAAGATGTGACTTCGGTTATATGAATTAAATGCATTGTCTAACATTAAAAAAAATTGTATTAAGCGATTGCGAGTGCGTGTTAGTGGCTTATCTGCATGGTTCATTTAACGTTATGCAATTTTGTTTCTTGAGTCCCTAATATTCAATACTAAAGGTGACCCAAAAGCAGCATTTTAGGTTACTTGACCTAACGACTTAAATGAATCTCGGCCCAATTAACTCTGTTTCTCCCACTACAGATGCCCCGAAAACACTTCAAAGAGGAGGCTCTCGCTACAGAACTCCCAGACCGGTAAACAACGTTAAAACATTTCTCTTAATGTAATTTCGATTTTAATAACGTGAACTTCAACAAAAAATGCTAAACTAAATAGGCCAAAAACATTCCATAATATGTGTCAAGCTGCGTGAATATCTGGAAGAAGGGTCGCATGTTAATTATAAAACGGGTCCTAAAGGCTTTTGTCATTCATTTGTATGTGTGGGTTCCCATTGACCCTAATATTAACGCTGTATAAACCAGATCAATGATAAATGATTCAAATAGATCTGTTCACTTAATTCTTACGAACTATCACCGCAGTGCAAGCGGAACATCCATGAAAACGCTTTTAAACCTACCTAACCTTTCTTCACGTCGTGAGTTATCCCGTCTTTGCCTGTTTCATGAAATTTATCATCACAATTCTTCCTTGCATCAAAAATTACTAACTCCTCCCTCATATGTCTCGCCACGCGTCGATCACCAACACAAAATCGGTCTAGCTGTTTGTAAAACCACTACTTTTTATATCTCATTCATCCCCAAAACAACATTTACGTGGAACCACCTTCCATCGTCAGTTGTGTCTGTAACAGATGCCATTATAACCGATGTTTAACCAATTTTCTAAGTTAAAATTTCTTATGTTCGTGTTTCTATTCTTAAGTTGTCATATTGTTTTTTAGTGATTTTCCTTTTGCAACCACTCCCCTCTGTAATGCCCTCGGGCCCTGAGGGTACAATAAATAAATAAATAAATAAATAAATAAATAAATAAATAAATAAATAAACAAATCAGAAATCTCGACTGGTCAAGGATGGTCCGCACCCGAATAAGCGGCAACAACGATCACTTAAACACGACAAATTGAGGATTATTTGCGCATCTTGAAACATCTTGAAGTTTACGGGGAAAAACTATTTACCAACCTTGTGGGTCTGTTACAAAGTGAGGCGAAAAATCATGTATGTAAATTAGAACAAACTTGAAAACATTAAGTGCTGGAATTTATGGAGCGAATATGTGACGAACAACCAACGAACTTCGTGCGGCAGCACGTTCGCTTTACGCACCGATGAACCACTTCTGTTCTAAAGCGACGCACAGAACGAACGCCGGTGGTCAATATTTGTAGTTTGAAGCTTCTTGTATATGCGTTTCATAAAATGCAGTTTATGCGTGGTATATACGGCAAGTGTTCCAAATTGAGTCTTTGACGCATCGGAACGTTAAGAGGAGGACGCCAATTAGAGGGCAGCATTGGGAACGCGCACGCAGAGCCGTTTTGGGGAGAGTTTGGCCATATACATGGGTTTGAATAGGCGAGAATCTCGCGCCCAGCCACAGGTCTTGAAACAAGCCCTAGCGGTGGTCGTGAGCTCTAAATATCTGACATGATTATTTAAGCCGTTCTAGCGCCACTGGAGTGAAAGGTATAACTCTTAGTGACTGAAAACTCGGCGCATGTGAGATTTTCGTCACGGCCATATTCGATGACAGAATGAACGAACGTGCACTCCAAACGAGGGCCGACTTGCTAGAAACAGCGTCTCAGCTGAGACAGGGAAAGAAAGCACTGCCAAAGCCAGAGCACGAGCCGGGCGGGACTCCGCCTCTGAAGACGCTCGCGCGCCCCACTCTTTGCACTGTTTTCTTTCAGCCAGTCTCTGAGACGCTGTTCTAGCAAGCCGGCCCAGAGCAAACTGTCATCGACTCTCTATCTAAAAAAACATCAGCAGTGCAGCCAAGGGCAGAGGCACGAGCGCGTGGCTTTGGAAAGTGCCTCCTATGCACGAGTTCTTGTACAAACAAAAGCATTTCGTTGTGCTAGGCTCACGGGCTTCTGCCTTTGTCTTTACTGCTTTAAATGTCTTTGCAATATTGTGATGTTGCGCTCTCCTGATTGGTCGACGCTGTGTCGTACCTTTAGTTTGCGCTCTAACCGCGGGGGAAGCTTTCGGTGCTGGTGGCGGCCTTTGCTCCGCCAATTGTCCGAACTCTCCTAATATACGGCTCTGCGCGCACGTAACGCGAGGTGACAAGGAAGCCAAGCTCGCGCCGTCATTGGTTGAGGCCAGGGGTAAACAAAAGCATGCGCGCGCGTTTGGAGGGTAACAAACACACGAGGTACGCAAAGAGCAGATGAATTTTCACGCCGAAAAAGCTTAAGTGGAAGCTAGTTTTTAGAGCGCAGCTGTTAGGGGCCCGTTTCCGGCTTGAGCGGCGTCGGCGTCGGCGTCGGCGTCGGCGCCGGCGTCGCCATGGGCGTAACCGCGCGGTGCATTATGGGACATTTCTCATGATGACGTTACACGTGACGTCACGTGTGACGTAACGAGGATCACCATTGACGTTACTAGTGACGTCACCGCGCGTTGCATTTTGGGTAAATTTCTCCGCTAAATATAGCGGAAAATTGTCACCGCTAAGACTAGCGGGATAATTTTCCCACTAAATTTAGCGAAAACAATTTTGCACTAAATTTAGCAAAAACAAATCCCCGCAAAATTTAGCAGTAGAATTCCCCGGTAAGTTTAGCGGAAAATTTTCCCCGCTAAAATATTTAGCGGGAAAATTTTTTCGCTAAATTTAGCGGAAAAAATTCCTTACTATGTTTAGCCGAAAAGTTTTCTAGCTAAATTTAGCGAAAAAAATTTCCCGCTATATTTAGCGGAAAAATTTCCTTTCGAAATTTATCGGAAAAAGTTCCCCTCTAAATTCAGCGGCAAATTTAGCGAAAATTTCCCGCTAAATCGGTGGCGAGCAGGAGAGGAGGAGGGGAGGGTACGGTTGAGGAGGAGGGGCATACCTTCCTCTCCGTATCTTTCCCTCCTCCTCCTCAAGAGCTACGCTCTAATTTGGCGTTAGAGGGGATTGTAAACGTCTCTAATTTTTTTTTTAGTATGTCAGTCTGGGCCCAATGGCGCGTAGAACTCTTATCTCTAACATGGGGTGGCAACTGGCAGTAAACTTTTCCCAGTAGGACAAGGTGCATACTGGGTGTTTTTGGAAAGGGGGGCCAAATTGTTCCTGCGTAAAGTATGCATCGCACATAGAGAAAAAAAAATTAGATGTCGTTTGAATCTTTATCAAAGGGTCCATTTATGAAAATTGATAATGTTCGGTATCTTTAGATTATTACTTCCTTCGGAGTAATTAACTTGTGATCTAGTGAACTTATAGGAATCGTCTCAGAAAGATGCTGAGAAACCTCGAAAACCACTAAATCACCTTACTTTATAAATATACGAAGCACCTGCAGCATTTTACTGCATTCCCAAAAGACGGGCAAGTTGGCGCGTTTCTGAGTTTTTGATTTCTATCGAGCGGAATCTGAGCTTGAGCGCCCCTCCCTCATGGCCGAAGCATGCAGCTACCTCGTCGCCTTCTGGTAGGAGGGAGGGAAACGTGGCACACAAAAAAATTCTTTGCGTGCTTTTTATAATTTCGAAGTTCATTTAGTGGTTCCCGATTATTCCGAGCAAGTTCCTACTTAAAATTATACATATATATTCACTAAGTAAAGAAATAATTATTTGAAAATATTGAATGAACCAATTATACCGAACATTATTCAGTTTTCCAAATGACCCTTTCGCTAAAAATAACAAAAACAGCTTCCTTTTTTTCGTTTTTGTGCTGCGTATTTTTCAAAGTAGAGATTTGACTCACTTCCCACCTCCCCCCCCCCCCTAAAAAAAATAAAGAAGAAAAAACACCCTTTATTGTCATGTACATCTTTCTGTGGCATTTTCCAGAAAATATCAGCGCGGGCACAACTTTAACGCCGAAGCACTCCTACTGTGGTGGTTAGAAGGGGAAGTGTGACGGACGCCGTATGCGCGCAATGACAAAGAGGGTCAAGAGGCGTGCTGAAAATTTTGAGAGTGCCTAGATTGAAGAGACGGTTCATCTCGAACCATGATAAGCGTTTGCCATTTAATGGCGTACACCTCCTGCGGCGATCAATCGCAAGTGCGCATGCGCTGCGTTTTCGCGTGGTGAGGAGGAAAGCAGAAAGAAAAGCGAAGAAGTTTGCTGATGATCAACGTATTTGTCACCTCCTCGCAGCTCATATTGCAAACGCGGCCCATAAAGCACGTGACCCTGATCGAGCAGTTGGAGACTCTCTGCAATACAGGTTCTCTAAACAAATTGGGGACCGCTTACTTGCCTCCTGGCAGCAGTGCCCCTAGCGGTCTCCAAAATTCTCATCAACAAATTTTCATCGCGGAATTCAGGCGTACGTCAGTAAGGGAAGCGCGCGCAAATCATTATGCTGCGGAAGAAAATACAGTCAAGGATGACGCCCCATGTGCGCCATGTCAGAGAAGGGCGAAAACTTGCGGTGAAAATCTTCGCCACCGCGAGGGGCGTTGCAGTCTGCAGGAGAGTCGTTTTCATCGCAACTTTGTGCATCCATTTGCTTCGGCCCTTCACGTTTCCCCTTCCAGCCACCATGCTCTTATCGTAACGTTAGGGGTAGGGACAATGACGTCAGTAGGATCAGCGGCTCCCGGGGCGGTGGCCAGCGGCGACACGCCCCCCTCGTGGGCCGTCGCGACACACCGCGGAGCGCTACACCCGGGGCGGTCCGGCCCCCCTTCTCCCCCCGCACCCCCCTTGTGACGCCAATGGGAAGGGGATCGGGTCGGATTGGGAGCCTCGAAATAGCGCTTACGTGGAGTGATTCTACGTAAATATACCGTTGTAAAAACAGGTTTTTATTGACACAGCCACAGTTTAGTAACTGCAAGTTTACTCGTGCAACTTATCAGGGCGCACAATTATTGAGGTGCACAGTGAGAACGATGTTTGTGAATAAACCACCTCATGAGGATTCGCGTTTTTTATCCAATCCACCCTATGCGGAGTAAATTTCGCAGAGGCAGATGAATGTTTTATAAGAACTAATGTCCATAAAATAGCAAAAACGTAGCGGCTCAGTGCAGACTGGAAAAAAGTTCAAACTAACAATTTAATGCATATAGTAGCACCAAAGTACCACCGAAAGCATTGGCAATAAAAATGAAATACATTTTCAATAAGCTTGCCTCACGTTTCAACTAAAATAACATAAAAGTCACTCAACTTCATTATCTCCATCTGCTTGTCATGGGCCCGCACACAACATGGATGAACGTTCAGGTGCGGAGAAGGGGGGGAAGGCCGGGCAGGGGAGGGGGGGGGAGGAGGAGGAACAGAGCCGTTCTGATTGGAAAGCGCATGGAGATAGAATCCATTAACTGTTTTAGCTTAGATTGACTGTAAATATATATATATATATATATATATATATATAGGAACGAATATGTGCAGATGAATGAACCGTACTTAATACAATGAATTAAAGAATCCAAGTTTTCAGGAACCCGCCGAAAGCCAATTTTTGTCTTTCGGCGGGTTCCTGAAAACTTGGATTCTTTAATTCATTGGATTAAGTACGGTTCATTCATCTGCACATATTCGTTCATATCCTCCTCGGAGACCACGTACGATGACGTGAAGTGCCCGTGTTGTATATATATATATATTTATATGTATATATATATATATATATATTTATATATATATATATATATATATATATATATATATATATATATATATATTATTGTACTAGAACAGTCGCAAGGCGACCAAAATATTAAAATATCTGGTGTATTCAATTTACAGAATAACCCAAATCACCGTTTTCATCAGTTGTGCCGCAAAGCGCAGAATCAGTACAGAGTCAAACATCACGCTCCACCTTTGAAGACCAACTCAACGGTAACGTGTCCACATCTTACAAGATGAGTTCATCGGTCGTTTTCAAGTTTTAGTATTCTTTTAGGATTAGCTTAAAAAAATTATGTAGATACCCATGTAAGGAACGAAATCACTAATAAACTGAGCTTGGGTGTGTGCACGAAGATTCGGCGAGAATAAATCGCACACAAATTAATACTAATTTCCATTTCCGCCGTGCCTACTTGTGATGCTGCATTTACACTGCGTTACCGACTGAACAGTCCCCATCAGCTGTTAAGTAGAAGTAGCCACTTGGCCCATCTACGACGCAAAAAAGTGTGTACCTATACCTTTTAGGTGCAGGAAATTATCGCATATAAAAATTTTTAAATTTGCTGACTGGCTGAAGACGTAAATTTCAAATATGACGGACTTAGGTATATACAACTACGAGAGTTAACTTCGTGAAAAAAAAACATTAGTCCTATAAGATTTTTTTCACTGCGTGTTCCTCTGCCGGTGGCGACCGCAGAAAAGATTCAATATTGATTTATCTAGGGTTGCGACGCAATCGCTTTTATCTCTCAATGGCGTTAAGGCCCATACGCACATTCGCGTTTAAGCGCGGTGCGTTCCGTAGCGGCAAGCGGACGCGTTGCGTTGCGAAGAGCACTTGCGCCAAACGTGTGCGCACAGTTGTGTTGACTCACACTCAACAGCAGTCAAGAGCCAATAAGAACGTGCTATCGTCGCTAGCGGCTTACCAATAGTAAGCGAAATCTAAGGCAACATGGCGGCGCACAGCGACAGCGTCAAAGTGTTCGATCTTGGGACAACCCCGCCGGCTTCCCCGACGTTTTGTCAAGCTTGAACTAAGGAGCCTTCATGGTGCGCTTTGAAGCGCACATGAAGGCACCCTAGCTTGAACCATCGTAGCCTTGGAAGATACACTTCCCACCGCTCCCCAAAACGAAAAAGCAAGTTCTGCGGGCGGAGAGCCGGATACGTCTCGCCGAGTCGGCCGTGTGGGGCGAGAGAGAGAGAGAGCGAGCAAACACGTCACCCTCGTCTCCTCTCTCGGCTTCTGATTGGTCGATCGCACCGCAACGCTTCGGAAAGTGGAACGAGTCTCTACTCGCTTGCATCGCGCTACGGAGCGTTGCGGGTAGGCGCGCGTCGCACCGCAAGCGACCACTCCTGGGCGCAAGGACGCCGCAACGCACTCAAACGCGTTCAAACGCGAATGTGCGTATGGGCTTTTAGAACAGCGGAGGTATATATGTGGCTTACCCTCTAATTCAAAATTATCCTACGGGCGATGCGTTCCTGACCTTTCCTTTATCAAGGTTGCTTTCTTCGCTGCATGATGAATATTTTATTAACTTCTTTTGTCTCGTCAATCTGCCCTCACAGGCTAACGTAGTGAGGACATTTGTGATACTTGTCTTAGAAGTTGTGTGCACCACTGTTTCGTGGCCGCAAGAATCACACCGAGTGCAGAGCTTGGGCTATTTGGATACTGGTTTATAAGAAATGCATAGAAAAAAGCTGGCAAATTGTGTTGCACGTGAAACGTCTGGCGTCTACGCTCTCGGTGGTCTTCATAGGTTAGTTTAGCGACTGGCTCAACCTGTGGCATTTACGTTCTATAGCAATTACTGGAATGGATATACCGGCGTATAACCAGGGTTCTAAAAACTTGTGAAAGGATGTAAAGTTGCTATCTGCCAGGACGCAACGATGATGTCCCGCAGGGATTTGCCGCCAAATATAACCTTAGCTCACGGTGTTATGTCAGTACATGCTGCAGTGACACTCCCTTAACGGTAAAAATGGTCTAGGTTCGACTCCCACCTGGCGCAAATGCTTTTTTTACTGCGGTGGCCCGCCCCCCCCCCCCCCCCCCCACACACACACGAACACACACTCTAAACCAATCAGTGTGGAGCCTCGCGGCCACGTTTTTACCCAGACTTTACATTTATCCAGGCTTCACGAAATGCTGACCAGAAAGCCAAAAAACGTTTCACGTTAACACAGAAATAAAAAAAAAAAAAATACTAATTTGGATGATGTGTTCCTCATGTACTCTAATAATTACGTTTTTTCTTAGATACTCTTCGCTCACACCCATCTTCAGTTTAAAAATAAATTGGTAACACGTGCACAAGGCTTTTGGCACATGTAGAACAAACTTTTAGAACAAAAGCATAGACTCTAGAAAATTAGAGCCGAGAGTCACGAAGAACAATGTGACCAGCGCGACTTTTTTTCTTGTGTGTGCTGTGGGTGACGAATTGAAACTAGAGATCTCCGCGCGTAACAAAATACATGACACTATTGAATTATCACCAATAATCTTTGTCTCGTTTGCGCTCCGCTAATCTAGTTGTACATACTGGCTCGTGGATGGGCCAAGAGACTTGCAATACAGGACGATACAAAAAACGTTACGCACCGACCGGGCAAAGGCCTCGGAGAGAATATCTATTGGACGACTCTCAGTACACCGCCGTATGAAAAGTATGGTAAGTTCGAGGAATTCAAAAAATTATATGCCTACGTTCATAAAAAAAATAATAATAAAAAACGATTTTTAGCGTGTTGCTTATATATACAGTTTATAACTTCTCTCTTACTGAGTGTTGTCACCATGAAATGCGACTAGAATTTCCTGTTGTTATTGACTGTTAGAGCTAAGGCGCAGTAATCCCAGAATTGGGTTATGATTTCGTTCGTATTCTTTTATTGTACAATAAAAAAATGAAAGCCGTTTACAAGTCTCTGTAGCACCGAATTAGAGCGCAGCTCTTGAGGAGTAGGGAAGGGTACTGAGGAGGGGGGGGGGGGGGGGGTCACGTGACCTCTGGGGGGGGGGGGGTCACGTGACCTCGTGAAGGGGCTGTCACGTGACCTCCCCCCCCCCCCCCCCCTTTTCCCGAGGTCACCGAAGGTACCCAGGTCCTCCCGAGGTCCTCCCGAAGGAACCCGAGGTCCTCCTGAGGTACTCCCGAAGGAACCCAAGGGCATTCCGAGGTCCTCCCGAAGGAACCCAAGGACATCCCGAGGTCCTCCCGAAGAAGCCCGAGGTCCTCCCGAGGTCCTGGGGGGGGGAGGGGGGGGGGGGGGAGTGTCGCGGTAACGCCGACGCTGACGCCGCTCAAGCCAGAAAAATGGGCTTAAGAGCTGCGCTCTAAAGCTCTGCGCGCATTTATATATGAAGTACTACGTAAAAGTGTATTGTTTGTAGTTTTCAGTGATGCCCAGCAACACTCTAACTTGAAATAATAAAGCTTTTTTTATTTTAATGAAATGGTTCATTATCATTAAACAACGGAAAACATGGTTGTCCCAAACTCAGACCCGCGGATTTCTGCAGTGCATATGTTTTACCCTATGTAATTATATTTTCACACGTGCTGTTGTACATGGGCGTTTGTACCACTGTAAAGTCTAAAAGACAAAAGTTTTCAACATTGAACAGCAGAGTACTAAATTTAGAGTAAAATTGCTACAATTAACAGCTGATTATTTTGTAAGAAATTTAAGAAAATGCTGCCAGTTGGTCGATAGAGGCCCATTCACACACTCGCGTTTGTTTACAGCCGAGGTAATTTGATCTCTGACTCCGAGAGAACACACTGGCACGCTGGCGCCATCTATGAGGTGACCCTGGAACCGCGTTCACTAGAGCGAAGATTTTTACGGTATTTGCGAAGTCAAACTTACGTAGTATATGTGAGAAATGATAGCTTATAACATTCACAAAAGTGTTTCAAGCCAAAGGAGAAAGAATGATGCAAGAGGAAATAAAAAATATACAGACCGCTAAGTGTTCCTTGGCTACACGACAGGAAGTGCAGGTGTGTGGTGTCGTCGCTAGATATTTAAATAGCTTTCAAGGCACGCATTTTTAAAAAGTTGCAGGTGTGTGAACGAGCCTTGACAGCCGTCCCGACAACCAAGTCTTAAGCACAGCTCTTTGAAATTAATGCATATAAAAGTCGCCTTATAAACACGTCCACACCACAGGATCAGAACACCTCCTCGCCCGCGTAGTATACCATAACCTCCAACAATAGGAATAAAGTGACCATATTGACCTCTGTCTATTTATTTATTAATCCTCTACTCCCCGATTACTATGAACAAACATTTCGCGTTTTAAACACGCATTTCTGTTGAGTTTTTATTTTCTAATTCTTAGTAGTTCTGTGTTTAATCTATGTAATGTTTTATACCCTAGTTACACTAGCCCTCTCAACTGTAGTTAAGCTGACGATCATCGACACGTCCAAACTGTCATTGAGCTCAATTAAGTTGTCCGGTGTTACACGGTACATAGGACTACGAACTCCAGTTGAGAGGAGCCTCAAGGGACACAGTTGCAACCGAACGAAACTAAAACTGATGTTATATTATATTTTTGTTTAATTAACGATGAAACTGAATTATATGCACACAGTTTGTTCATGAAAAACGCCTAAAACAAAATAAAAAAAACTTATTTTTGGGGAGTAAAAAAACGATAATGATAACGTTTTAACCGCATTCAAGCAAGAGAGACACATGGAAATTCTTATCGGCACCGACATTACAAAGGCCACCCTCGCCGAGCTTTAATAATTAATAATCAATCAATCAATCAATCAATGTTTATTATACAGTGCCCACGAACAACCCTGAGGTCTTGGTGCTGGTACACTGGTGGATAAAAGAAATACATTATACACATCTACGCAGAAAATAAGATACATTTTTAAGCATAATACTAGCCAGTGCACGAGTAATTAGTAGAATTAAATAGAAACGAGGCAGTAACAGCAGACACGGAACACAATACCGTAGGATATCAAGTGCACCACCAGAGAGCACGCCTCGCAGATGACGAAATTCAGACATAACAATGCCATTCAGCAATGCTCATCCTGCACGGGCAAGTTTTTAATAGAAAGAAGAAATTTCCTGTGGCAAGGGTGGAAAATATCAAGTTTTTCCGAGTAATGATTCAAACGCTGTGCCATTCTCACAATTGGGTTTACCGGATTAAACGTTCTAGAAACATAAAAAGATGACAGAAGACGGGTAGGCACACCTCGGACCCTAAGGCACAGTTCAGATAACAGGCTCGGTGAATTGATGAGTCCATGCTGCGTTTTACACAAAAATAGTAAGTCCGCGTTCTCCCGACGCCGGTGCAAACTAAGCAAACCAACACGCTCTAACGCAGACTCATATGTTAAGCAGTGAACATTCTCCTTTATGTAGCGATGTTTAAATATCGAAACAAACGTTTTTTGCACACGTTCGATCTCCAAGGAGTGACTTTTAGAAATTCCATTCCAAACAACTCAGGCATATTCTAACTGCGACCTGGATAGCGAACAGTATAACGTGATAAAGCCGTCCCGTCGGGTTTTCGGACTCCCTGGTTAACCGAGAGGCGACACCCAACATTCGCAATGACGAGTTAACCAGCCTACCAACGTGATCAGAGAAACCCAACCCAGAATCAACCATGGCACCGAGATCTTTTATTACACTTACTCGAGACAAAGTCTCTGCTTGAATATTATATGCAAAAGGGATATTGTGAGTTTTCCGAGAGAGCGTCATGACCTTGGTTTTGGACGGGTTCAAGAGTAGGTCGTTTTCGGAGCACCATCGGTAGAAAGAATATGCATCTTCCTGGAGCTTAAAACAATCATGTTCAGTAACTATTTCTCGATAAATATTTATATCACCAGCATATTGCAGGAATGAAGAATTTAAAACAGCAAAAGAGACGTCATTTACGAAAATTGTGAACAGAAGGGGTCCTAAAACAGATCCCTGGGGAACGCCAGAGCGAGTCCTGTATTACGAAGAGTTCATGTTGTTGACCCGGACATACGCCTTTCTCTCTGACAGGCAGCTTTTTAACCAGTCATGTACTGAACTACATACTCCATATGAGGAAAGTTTAGATAGAAGAATGTTGTGATTGGCAACGTCAAAAGCCTTACTTAAGTCAAAGTAGACAACGTCTAACTCAACTCTGTTACATATCACACGAGATGCGGCAGACATAAAGCTAACAAGATTAGTAGTTATTTATCTGCCGCTCATAAAGCCATGCTCATTGGAAGTTGCTAAGTTTCGAAATTTGAAAGAGAGGAATTTATGAACGACCATTTCAAAGAGCTTAGAAAATGGAGAAAGAAGAGAAATAGGTCTATAGTTACAAATATCAACTTTTTCCCCCGACTTTAAGACTGGAACAACAGCACCGACTTTCCACGTTTCAGGAAAGGTTCGCAACCTTAACGAGTTGTTCAATATAGAGCACAGTACCGGCGTGAACATGTCGTGATACGTTTCGACAATTGCAGAGGAAATGCCGTCGGGCCCTACTGATAATGTTGCTCTCACTTTCTTAATATAGGATCGTACGCACTCCTCATCGACATTAATGCAACTTAACAAGTAACCAAACCCACCCAAGTGGGGCAGCGCAGCTGCAGAACGCTGCGTACTATCCCTGTAGACGGACCTAAAATGCTCAGCGAATAACTCAGGCACGGACTTCAAATCGCTCTCGTGATTATCCAGGACAATCTTCGACTCGATATGCCTCCCAGCACGTGAATTAAGGTACCTCCAGAATTTCTTCGGATTATTGACAAGATCTGATTCCACTGAGCAACGATGAGCCTGGCGGTCGCGATCTAGGACCGTCTTACATTGCTTTCTGCAGTTCTTGAATTCTACCTCCCGCTTTAAAAGGCCACTTTTCTTAAACTTCCTGTGAAGAAGTCCTTTCTTTTCAGTAGTGTTCTTAGCTCACTGGAAAACCAGTTAGGAAAGCGAGATTTAGTAACTGTCCTTAACGGAATAAAAGTATCCATGGCCCCCCGAACAGCTCGCGTGAAGAGCATGACCTGGTCATTTACATCAGGCGACTCCAAGATCAATGTCCAATCAAAACTGGTGAGGTAACGATGCATCCCATCATGGTCCCCTGCTGACAGATTGTATGAGGTGTGCGGCGGGGAGCCACCAGAATGAGCACGAACTGAGGAATTTTCGAAAGAAAGTACTATATCAAGGGCAGCATGATATGTATCCTGAGGAACTAGTGGGAGTTCACCTCGTGCTACACGCACACTGTCCATATTTGAGAAGCATAAATCTAGAGCATTAAATTGGTGATTCAGAACATTATTGTGTTGTGTGAGATTTAAGAAAGAAGAAAAGTTTAAGAGCTGGGTGCCTTTCTGCCTGCAGTAAAAGTTGTCCGTAAAAACATCAAACTGCGGCCAGTTGACTCCAGGAGCATTAAAATCCCCCAAGATTAAGACTTCTCATACCTGTAAGTCATTCGCTGTATTCTCTAAGCCAACAAGACAACTATGAAATTCATCTGGCGGTGTCTGGGGAGGGAGGTAAAATAAACCGATTAAGACGCGTACTCCCTTTGCAGCCTCAAGCTCGACCCATACCCTCTCGGGAAATTTCTCTAAGTCTACGCGTCTCCTAGAGCGGTAGCGCCTGTCGATTGCGACCAGCACTCCACCTCCCGTTCTGCTCCGGGGTAGAATCACGATCGCGACGGTGCACCTCAAAGCAAGGAGAAAAGTAATCGGAGGAGCCGATGCTAGAACACAACCATGTTTCAGTTAAACAAAGTATCAAGCAATTCTATAAGGTAACATTAGAGAAATATGAATCGGCTTTTTTACGCAGACCGCGAACGTTTTGGTAAAATAAATCAATGTGACTCATCCTTGGTTTATCCAACGATCAAGGGGCGGCGGCGGCGGCTGCCTCGGATGCATGGAGCAGGTCTTCGCAAAGGGCGCCTCGAAAAGCCTTAAAGAGGCAGGATTTGGGCCACACGGTGGGATCAGAAAGCTTTTCGAAGCCTTTTGCAGCCACGGACACATGGAAGGAGGCGTAAGAGTCGTAGCGCGTCTTCAGTTTCCGGCACTCCACTTCCTCAACTCCGACGGAAGAAAGATGAGAACTGATGTGTTAATAATAACAATATTAATATTAAAGGAGTTATTTACGCAGGATGTATCCAGGACGGCACTAGGCAGGTTCTTTGAAGCCAGCAGGGCTTGTAGGACCGAACCTAAGTATAAGTGGTAAATAAGGGAGTCTCGGAAAATAATAAAATAAAGCAGAAAAACACCGCGTGGTTTCTTCAGTTGCAAAAACTACACAAAAATGTCAATAAGAAAGTTATTGTGAAAGTCAAGTAAAAAATATATACAATACAAATATAAGCTATTTTTCTAGTAGAATGGGAAAAATGAGCTATGTCAAAGTTCCAGTCGTATAGCACAAGAACTTGATGATAGAAGGAGTCATACACATGCTACATGCTCACACACGCACATACGCGCACACACAAGTACACAGACATTACTGCGTTACACTGCACAAATTATGTTGACCGATCGAAGAAAGATTCATGTGAGGAAGCAACACCGATAATGACGAAACAAGAAAGTGAGATATTATAAGGCCTCTTCATCGATGGAAAGAGGGCGGAATGCCTTTCTGAGTTTCTTTTTTGAAGTAATCTCTGAAAGGCTTAATGGCAATAGGTTAAAAATTTAAGGGACGTAGTACGAACGCATATTTTTGCCGTAGCGGGTATCACATATTGGAGTGAGCAATCTTGAAGATCACTGAGCTCAGTTGAGCTCAGTGATCATTAGCGGCTTAATGACAGTTGGGGCCGGCGTGTCATCTGTCGTTGGCTTAATGACAGTTAAGAGCGCTACCGTGGCTAGGATATTAGTCGGTTCAGAATTTAAGAACAAAAATATTTGCGTAAACAGTTCTTGCTTTTTGTCTAATATATGCAACTGCAAGGTGTGACTGCGTGTGCAAACTACGAATACGGCGAGCAGCGGGTCAGCCAGTGCGCTTTTCGGGCAGCACGATCAACTATAATAACTGTCCATCTACTGTCTCGGCCATCCTGACCTATGTGAATAGCTGAAACTTTTACATATATTTGTACCTAATATTCAGCCATGCAGCCAAGTTGATGTCTATGGCGGTCCCTAAATTAAGTTAGATATATAACTGGTAAGCGATCTCAAGAAGGCTTTGATTAACTTTTTAAAAGTATTTTTTTTTTCGGGAGCATAAAGTTTTTAAATAATTGATACTAGTTCCCAACAAGGCCATGCCGTGCCCTACATTTTTCATTAGAAAAATTAAAGTCGGCACTAAAGGCGAGAAACGTGAACCATGTACACGAATTAATGTCAAAACTAAGCGGACAAAGAGCGCTAGTGAAGTAAATTGTTCCACCCTTCGCCGGTATCGAAAGCGAAGCCGGCTGCGGCGGCCGCAGGCACCGTTCATTGCCTACTTAGCTTTGCTTCAACTTTCAAACTTTTAAGACTCAAATTAACAATGTCTCACATTTTTTGCAGCACAAATGGCAGTAGATATGTGGTATGAAGAAAATGTGAAATACAATTACCACCAGGGTGGTTACTCAGCTGCCACCTCTCATTTTACACAGTTGGTATGGATATCAAGCACTCAAGTGGGATGTGGCTATAGCGTATCCAGCTCCAAAACCCTTTATGTTGTTTGCAACTACTATCCCCAAGGGAACATCGAAGGAAAATATAAAGAGAACGTCAAACCACCCTCGACGTACCATTAATAAAAAAAAAAATTTTTGCTTCATCACTGTTTGTTTAGTACAATAGTACAGCACTTTTAAGTGAAAGCATTCTTGGCTCATTGTATTACCATTTTTACGACCAGTCGGTCAAATTGTGCTCAGAATGTTTACAAATTAGGCCACAACGCACAGCTATTTTAGTGGCAAGGCGCCACTAAAATAGCCGTAGTCTCTTCACCCGTTTTTATTTGCATTCATTTGGCAACAAAATAATTGGCGCCATCTATCGAGGAGCCATGTCGCACTCCCGGTCAGCGTATATTTCTTATTTTGTTATCCACGTCATTCTTCCACCATAGGAGTGAATCGCGCCTAAGTGTGCTATAACCGATCATCTACTGAAGGTTGTGCGTAGTTCTAATTTCGCAAATACTTCAAAACCCGCCGGCTAGTTCAGAACCAGAAGTGTTTCATGGCTTTTTGCCACGCTGGTGCCACCGTGCTTCAACTCACGCGAGAAAGGGCGAATATGGCCGCGTGCGTGGTCAAGTTGGTAGCGCTCTCGGATCTCGCGCAATACACTCGAATAGGAATCTTGCTAGTATGGTGTTTTCAAGTTTTTTTCTTGACTTGTTGCTTCTTAGGAAAGTTCCAGTGCATTGTCGTGTAATGCCCTTGTTATACCCCTGTTACACGGGCACACTTAACTGCAGTTACGCTAAACCGCAATTAGCGCACAATACTTGCCGACAACATTCTGCGGCGATGCAGCCAGAGCTACGGGCGAACGTGCGCTTGAGCATCTTGAGCACCCATCAAAGCAGTGCAGGCGCTCTCTTCGCTTCTTTTGAAATAGCTGTCCGAGCGTATAGTGCGGCATCTGTGCTGCCACGTAACCGCAGTTAAAGCTGAGTTAACCGCGGTTAAGTGCGCCCGTGTAACAGGGGTATTACACGGGCACCCTTAACCGCAGTTAAGTCACACTTAAAGGCAGTTTCGCTAAGCCAGACTTCTCACACTTTATTTCTGGACAATGTTCTGCGGCTCTGCAGTCAAACTATAGGCGCACGTGCGCTTGTGTGTCTTGGGCATCCAACGAAGCTGTGCACGCGCACTCTTTACTTTTGAAATAACTGTCCAAGAGTGCAGCGCGGTATACTCCGTAAAGCTCCACCTCTAGCGCGAGCTTGCTGGCTTCCGCAATGCTATTGGCTGCGCACGCCTGCTCGTTCACACTTGTGTTAGCAAGGACAGAAAGCTCGCGCAGAAGGCGGAGCTTTTAGACAGCTTAAGAGGGATTCACCTGCGATTAATTTGAAGCCTTTTCCTCATAGATGGCGCATAATGTTTCCGGAACAAACAGGTTGTATGCTCGCAGCTGCCCATGCAGGTCAGGCGCTAGGGGTGAGCTCAGGCCACGGGCTGTTCGCCGCCGATCTCGAGCAAGATCTAGAGTCACTGTATATGTCAGCTACTCTGCCATATACCGTGGCTCAAGCTAGATCTACTTCGGCCTGCGTCCCCGCTGCCGCAAGCGGCCAACGAGTGGCGCGAGAGGGTGCCTGAATGTGCGTCTGTCACAGGGTGAAGACACTCATTGCTGTATTGAAACTGCCTGCGCGTGCCAAATCGGCCCTAAAATTGCGCCAAAACATTGGGCAGAGGTAAGCACTCACTCCGAACGAGACCGAAGCCCGCGCATTCTGAGGACAGAAATGCCCGAGATGCCACCACCTAGGGTGCCTTCATATGCGCTTTGCTTAGGGTGGAGACATCTGGCCATTTTCCCCGAGACGTTTATTTTTCTTTTTTGTTCAGAAGCGCGCGAAACAGCGTGTCTCCGCACGCGTTTGTGGCACTGACTATGCTATGGCGACATTTTGTTGTCGTCGATTTCTTTGTATTTTCGCCATGAGCGCCTGCAGTCGGCATCGGGTACTACAAAGGGTGGCATCACTCTAAAGAGAAGGACATTGAGCTACCCTACCATCACCCTAAGACAGACGTCGCACCTGTGTATGAAGGCTCCCTAACCAGTCAAGACGTAGATTAGGGTGGCTTACATAACGTAAAAAAAGCTTTGATTTTCGACTTCATTCGAAGTCCCAATCACGTTCGAAATTATCGAAAGTACAGAGTGCGGCGGTGCGGCCGTAATAATCAGTGCATTTGGCACGCCTCACAAAATTCGAGTTTCCAATGTACGTATTTGAATTTAAACACGCAAGCGTCGGTTTGCAAAACCAAAAAAAAAAAAAAGTATATATACATGCCTATTTTTTTGGAGATGAAATCAAAGCTAGCGAGAAAAATAATAATAAAAAAGAAAGATAGAACTAGAGCGGCAGTTTTACATTTCCTACGTCCTACATCGGTCTGCTCTCCATCTGCATACTGGTAGGCAAACTCGCTCCCAGGAGGTGGGGAGAACGCAAAAAAGCCCAGAACTCGATAGAAGAGGCTGGCGACGAGCTGATGACCGCAATAAATAACGATTTTAATAAAATATGTAAACGATGAGGCAGTTTCAGTTCACATTTAGAAATATAAAAATGTTTTTTGTATGATAAGCAAAAAATCTAAAGCCGACAAATGTTTGTTTTATTTTGTCATCTATCCGTTCGCGTATCTGCTGGGCACGGAAGATGCGGGGGGAGGACCGAAAATCTTTTATACACATATAAAACCCCCTTGCCCCAAAATGTAGCCATGGCCAAGTGCACGGAGCGTCCACCCCGGCTACGGTAGGTGGTCGGTTTGAAGCCGACCGTCCGGCACCCGCCGGCTTAATGAGTACTAAAGTTCCCTGACACCGGCGCTCGGGTTCCCATCCAAGGGATGACGTTTGGCAGAGGTTCCGGAAATGCCGCTAAGCCTAGCTGCGAACGCTTAACCGCAGCCGCTCGTCGGTTGCGGCGGAATGCCGCCTTTGGTGGCGTTATTCCACTCGTGCAGACTCTTGTCCTTGGGAAACCAGGTAAAAAGTTGAACGCAAAGGCCCTCAGAAGCCGGAGCAAAACACGTGACAAGCTTGCCCCGAAAAAGGACATGTTACATGTTTTTTTTTATTGCGAAAATGAACTTTGTATCGCTGAATGCTCATTCACCACCCAAATGTAGCACTGGAGGTCGTAGCCAGATGCCAGAGTTTCAGCACTAACTCTTATCCTTAAAAAAGTTATAAGTGATTTTTGAAATTTCTATTGCGAATATGGCGGCAGACCGAGCTCACGAATACATGGAGCTCTATGGAGCCAGGTACCGAAGACGGGCGAAAATGGGCCCCATGTTCCCATCAAAAGTGTAGAAAATCACATAACTTTTGCATAAGGTAACGGTTAGTGCTGAAACATTGGCATCTGGTTTGGACGTCTAGCGCTACATTCGGCGGAGAATGAGCGTTTGGCAAACATAAATTTATTTTTCCGGTAAAAAAAAAAATTTCTTGCAAGAAGGGGGGGGGGGGGGGGGGGCACGCTTTAATGTTCTTGAACAAATAACTCTATTTTTTTGGCCAGGATACATAAAGTGTGCATCGAAAAAAGCTCAAACGCCACGAGAACGTGCAAGCGGTTGGGTGAGGACGCAGAAGCTTGAGAACATGACGTTACATGAATCAAAAGAGAACTAAGACGAAATTTTTTTCGTAGCCGACGTTCACCTAAGCCTAATATCGCCATATTATGAAGCAGGGATGGGAAAAATACAGGCAAATATGTATTGAAATACAAATACAAAATACTTCGTCAAAAATGTATTTAATTACAAATCTAATTACATTTCCCAAAAACGCATTTAAGTACATGATACAAATACAACCAAATGTATTTGGTCTCCTCCAAATACTTTTCCAAATACATTCTTCAAAATTTACGTCAGCGATTTCAGGGCACCTGCAACGGGTTTCTGGGTATCTCATTTTAATTTTGCATCGCACACTCGGGAGTTAGTGTGCGAGGCTCTAGTGACGTAATAGAAATATAATCACAAAAAAATGCAACCCGCTTGGACGTAACAGGTGAAGAAAGTTCAGAGCTTCAAGCAGCTTTTTTTTTGTCAATTACATTTTTTATAGACCAAAAAAAAAAAAAACCGAGACAACCGAGACGGGCAGCACTAGCTATAGAATTCTTTATTGTTGCAACTCGCACTAGTTACGAAAATCTCGGACGACCCTTGCATTCAGAATGTTCCAGGCCAAAATATGGATGGAAATCAGGCTGGAAAGCATCACAAGTTGTAACAGGCACTTTTTAGCCAGTCTGCCTGTGAACGCCGACTTCGTCACTATTGTTGCCCTGGACTAGCACCGCAATCACAAAGTCACTAAACGCTGGTGCTTTATTGATAGACACTGCATTCGGTGCAGAACGTAGTTTTCTTCCTGCTCTGGAGAGTGACAATAAATCTGAGAGATGTATTTTGGCCCACCGAATTGTATTTAATTACAATTGTATTTGAAATACCCACGCTTGAGTATTTAAATACACAAATAAAATACATTACCTAACGTGTAATTCAATACAAATGCAAAATACACAAAGTATTTGAAATACGTATTTCAAATACGTGTATTGGAAAAACTGCCGATCTCTGTTAAAAAGTAACACTGTGGACTCCTGTGGCATATTTTTCAGTAATAAAGCAATCTTCTCAGCAAGAATGAAAACTATGTTCTGTCTTGCTGACAGATGCTTTTCACTGATATAAATCCCACAAGCGTTCAGGAAGTCAGTTATTGTTTTGATGATTTTAGGCTTAGGTACACGTATATTCAAAAACAAAATTGCGTTTCTCAATATTTTTTCCAGGTAGCGTTACGTTTCCAAGTTTTCGCGTCTATCTATCCCAAACGTTAGCGTCACATAATCAAGGAATTTGAGCTTTCTCCGATGCATAGTTTATTTTACCTGGCCTAAAATCACGGTTTTCTTTTCTCAAAAACTTGTTTGTTTTTTTTTGCTCCTAGTGCCAGCGTTCTAATCTTGAGAGCTACAAGCCTTGACTTCTGTTTTATATGTTGTGCATTCACTATATCC